TATATATACACACATATATATATATATATATGTTATTTGAACTTATTTAAATAGACTTCAAAACTTAATTTTGAAAATAGACCCCTCTGGTTGTAATCTTATATCAACTCGGTCATCATCAAGGTTTTTTTGGTTTTATGATTCGTCCCCCGTCAACTTTACATCTTGTAAATGAGGGGTTTAAGATTGACATACAATTGTATATAATTTTGTCAACTCTATTTTGCTTACAAAGAAAAAAGTAATATTTTTTGTGTCGCCGCGCGCGAGTATATTGTGTTTTAATATATATATATATATATATATATATATATATATTAACCCTGACTGACAAATTCAAGTTTGCTCTTATTGGAAAATTTCAGTGGGGGCACCCACCTATGGAAGTTATCAAGAAAAGTTTTAATGATCTTAAATTAGCAGGAAAGTGAAAAGTGAGGCTCATGGATGGGAGACATGTATTGAACCAATTAATCGTTGTTGAAGACTATACTCGGATTTTCTCCAAAAAATATCTTAGCATTGTTGGTAAATCAATGAAGCTACTCAAGTGGTCTCCTGATTTTGACCCTAATCATGAACCTCCTACTGTATTGGTATGGTTCAGTCCACCAAGGCTCAAGCTGCACTTTTTTAATCATCAAGTTTTTTACTTTATTAGGGTCATACTTGGGACCCTATGAAGCTAGATCTACTGACTTTCAACCTAACCAGACCTTCTATGGCCAGAATACTTGTGGAAAGAGATATTATTTTACCTAACGTTACTGAAGTCTTGTTGGGCACAACTCATAATGGATATGGCAACAAATTGTCATGGAGAATAGACCACCTTATTGTTCTCATTGTAAGATGTTTGGGCATACACTTGATAAATGTCATAAGTTTCATCCTAATTTGAAATTTAAAGATCGAGTGAATAAGGATGGATCTAATCCCACTACTCTAGACATATCGGTTCCATCTGGAGAGAAAGCTACCACATGACAGGTTTTGGATATCGCTAAAGATCAGCCACCTACCATCCCTGCTGAGAAGGTGCAAACCATCCTTTACCCAACATCGCAGTTCCTGATGAATAACATCATACTACAGGTACAGATCCAAAAGTGCTTATACCACTCATTGTCATTGAAGAAGACTCACTTATATGTCAAGACACACGAGAGTGTTTCTTCGATTCAATCAAAGATCAGCTGGTACAACAAGTAGTTACTTCTAATGTTCAACATCCTACACATGTCCGACACACTTTAGAACAATCCACTGATCAGGCGAGCCAATCTTCGAATGAAGAATGGCAGGTCTATTCCAGGAGGAGGAAGAAGATTGGAGGCCGACACGAGCTTGGAAACTTATTAAATGATACTTTGGCCGCTACTGGCAATGGCACTCATCTTACCAATTTATTATCTGGCTCCTTTCCTAGAACTAGAGGTAGAGGCAAAGGAAAATTGGGTCGCTCTCTAGCTACCTGATACTACATTTGTTTGGCATTTTTTGTTTTTCTTATTTAGGTATCTTGTATTTTTCTGTATTTTCTCCTTTTTTGGAACTTTTTGTATGTGATGGTTATCGTGGGGGAAGAATGTCATGCTTCGGCCCTTCCATGCAATCTTTATGTATCTTTATTTCCTTTTAATATATATATATATATATATATATCGTATAATGGCGTTGTCCTCCTCGATATCGCTCTAATAAAGTTTCGTCATTATGGTGAACTCTGGTTTCTACTCCACTGCTCGTGCTCGATCTCCTTTTGTTTTCGTCTGTTTCGTGCATCATCCTTGCGGCGCATCTTCAGTGGCGTCTTCTGCGGGAGTGTGTCTGTGCGGCAGGCTGAATGGCTCGCGATAAAGGCTTATCTTCGGTGGCGGCGTGCGCGTCTCTGCGGGATCATTTGCTCACTGAAGAGTCTACGAGTCTTCCGCGACGCCCTCTATTTCCGCAGCGTCCTCTGTGTGAATCTTTCGCATCTGTTGGCTAAAGGATCAATAATTATTTTGATGGCACTTCCTTCTTCTTCGCCCACGTGGTGGGTAATCATCTTGTGGAGTCTACTGTTGTTTTCCCCTCAAACTATAAAGAATGTCGTGATGATACAGGTGACTGCCCTTTTCTTTAAGAAGATAAGTTGGAAGAGTGGGAAAGCGGCACTTTTTTTCTCTAATTCAGAAATTTCAACCCTGACTGAGAAATTCAAGTTCTCTTATTGGGAAATTTCAGTGGGGGCACCCACCTGTGGAAGTTATCAGAAAGAGTTTTGACGATCTCAAACTTCTAGGCAAATAGAAAGTGCGACTCTTTGATGGGAGACATGTGTTGATTCAATTAACCCTGGCTGAAGACTGCGCTCGAATTTTCTCTAAAAAATATCTTCACATTGCAAGCAAATCAATGAAGTTACTCAAGTGGTCTCATGATTTTGACTCAAATCATGAGTCTCCTACTGTTTCGGTATGATTTAGTTTATCTGATCTCAAGTTGTATTTCTTTTCTCATGTTAAAAAAAATAATTTAAAATTAATTATACATAGAGAGTTTTTAAAATATAGATTCATTCAAGATCGCAAATAACTACAAAATCAAATATAACTTCCTCCATTACTTTTCTCTCTCCTAGTCAATACCTATTGCAAATCTTCTCATAATCACCAACACCAATAATTAACATATAGCTAACACCTTCCCAGTAATCCTAGTCACCTCAGCAAATTTATCTTTAAAGTTTATATCCACTACCATCACAACCTGCTTTCTATTATGGACCATTCCAACATGCAAAAACTTGTAAGCTCAAAAGGTCCTTGAAGTTTTTCCAACGTCATTTGGTTTCAAGCAAGCAAACAATATTTGTTTCTAAAGCAAAACAATATACTTCTTATAAACTGGCAAAATAGTTATGATGGTTAATTTATCATGTCCAAATTTTGTCAAAGCTGGCCAATCCAAGTTAATCACTAAATAGTAGAGTGTCAAACTATGAAAATGGCATAGCTTTTTCCACCAAAGATGGTGAAAAAAATAGGTTAGGAGCTAACACGTAAAAGAAGTTTTGCATGACTATTGAATCGAGAAGAATACCTTGAAATAATGGATGGCACCTCTTATAAAGCCACCATGAGAAGGATCCTGGAAATGACCAATATTTACAACCCAAACTAGCACACAGATCCCTGCGATGACCTAAAAGTAGACAGATAGATCAGCTTCCTCAATCTTCATGACTACATGAAAGAACCAGTAAGCATTCTACGTGAAAAACCTAACAGCGATAACAGTAATGAGATATCACAAGTAACAAAGAAAAAACAGGAGAAGAAATATAACTTTCGTACAAGTATCAGAAAGAGCCAAATCAATAATGAAGTTCCATTCCAGCAAGTGCAACTTATCATTAAAAAAAAAACATGGATTGTGAATAAGAGGGACTCCTAACTAAGGGTATCACAGTTCACATGTTAATATACAATAGTCTCAGAAATTTCAAGATGCAACCTGCAATCAACAACAACTACGTAGTGTAGCAACTGCTTCAGGCCAGACAGAGACCAATTCACTTCAAACAATAGTACTTGTACTATTGCTACAATACTCTAAGAAAAATAACAACGTCATAACCAGGTACTGTGCTTTCAATTTGGAACAACAACCCCATTATCAGAATTACCTCATTTTTCTTTAAGGAAGCAAACTAATACGTACCTACATAAGAGCAAAAATTACTGAAAAAGGAGAAGGAAAGGCTGAGTATACCTTAGCCAGGAATTTCCCAAACTCATCAAGCTTTTTCTTTAAAGGTGTAACTTCCTGTGATGCAAAGTTAATAAAATAGCAGTAGTAACAAAAGCTTTGACAGGCAAACTATCACTAATGTATTTCAAAAATTGAATAGAAACATTATAAAAATTTTCAGATACAACTTTGCAGAATGTGGGACAAGCAAAGCATACATCTTCTGTTCGTAACATTGCATCGCGTATACTGCCCATTGCAGTGTTAGAGCCTACACCAACAACAACAGCTCTTGCCCTACCAGCCACCACCACAGTACCCTAAATAATCAAAATTAAGATTAGATAACTAACTTCCGTATATCCTTATGAGGATACCATAAAAAAATTAAACAAGAAAAAGTTAATATTTATAAAGCATTCTTAAAATTATAAAAACATAAGAATTAACAATGCTCAACAAATTAAACGGTAATTATTAGAACGAAGGCACTTAAAATTTGGAGATCAAAAACATAACAAACTATTATCCTCAATGATAACAGTTGCCACTCAAGAAAAAAATAATATTTTATGAACCTATGATTTCTTAAAATTTAGAATGATGGTTGAACCAATATAAATGAGGTCAAGCTATAGGGTAGATTTTTCTCTCCATCCATGGGGATATATTATTGTTAGCTTTTGTAGCAAAAAAAATTCACAAAAAACAAACTAGTATCTTGAACAAATTAATTCAAAATCAGGTCAAATGCCATATTGATAATTTGGCTGGTAAAAGAAAAATAGTGGATGATAATATTAAAGATCTTCAGATCATTTTCAAATGTCTTAGAAAACATAAACATTCTCATGTGTATTTTTTTTGGCATTGTTGAGAAAATTTCTTGGCTTCACATTCTGTTATATGGGTGCGCAAATTGATAGAGCCAAAATCAAAGTTATCATAGATAAGCCAACCCTTAAGTGTCTTACATAAAAAAGGACGCTTCAAAAGAAGTTGCCTCGTTTGTGATTCCTATCAAATCTATTTGGTAGATGCCAACAAGTCACAACTTTAGTGAAAAGTAATTATTAATTGATATAGATAAACATGGTTGAAAATCATTTGATAATAGTAAATACCATGAGACAGCATGAACTCTTACACATCAAGGTATTGTTTGTTTCGGCCTAATGGTCTCACGGTTTTGCCGCGTTAGTATAAGTTCCAAGGGGATCATCCGTCCTAGGAGTGCTCCCATGCGAGCACACTTAACTTAGGAGTTTGTAATGAAATTTCACCGTTACACAAAAAGGCTCTTTCAATTAATTTTTTTAATATTAAACTATTAGTGATAGAATTAGAAACATAAAAAACTTAATTCTACCGCCCGACCGTTGTTCCTGTCTTGATTAATTTTAAGTCTCAGATCGGATCGTGACACACTAACCAATGCAATCACTTGTTTTCACAACCCCAATCCCAACAAAATCTTTAATATTATATTCAAGGTCCATGGATGAACAACATTCCAGTCTTAACCAAACAAAAATAAAGGGAAATAAATTCTATCTTTCAAGTCATCAACAAATTCTAGCCCAAAAAAAACTACCCATGCATTGGAAAACATTTCAAGACACTAAAATTTTAAACGGTGGAGCCTCCTGCCCTCTTTTTCTCTCGTAATAGCATGAAAGTTGCAATACTTGGATTTTTATAATGAATAAAAGTAAAATACTATGAATAAATTACATCCCAAAATTTAACATTTATAAAAATCATCTAAAATCACTCCATTGCATTCTAAGTTTCAAATCGATCATTTTTATATACAAGAGCATATGCTAATTCTAAGAGAAGAGAAAGTTATGGAATTAATTTTGGATTGAATTTAAGTAAAATACTCTGAATAAATTACATCCCAAAATTTTACTTTCTATAAAAATCATCAAAAATCACTCCATTGCATTCTAAGTTTCAAATCGATCATTTTTATATACAAGAGCATATGCTAATTCTAAGAGATGAGAAAGTTATGGAATTAATTTCTGATTGAATTGAATTTTCATAAATTTCTACTTAAGAATATTGTTCATTTTAATAGTAGCAACTGGAGAATATTTTATTATTTCTATAAAATTTTCATGCAATGGGACATGATCTAACGGTTGTGGTGACAATAGTAAATAAAATATATAATTATATATGTGTGTATATGACACGGGGCTGCTTCAGCCCGTAAGGCCCGGCACGACAAGAAGCCGGTCCAACCTTCAAGCTAGGCCAAACTGATTTAATTCCAATTCTTATTATGCCTGCCCCTCTTCCTGTCTCTAACTCGCTCTGCTTCTTCTCCCCAGAGCCCTATACTTCCACTGCACCTCCTAGCCGTTGTAATCGCCTCTTCGATTCCTTCCACTTTTCACCTCCTTCCTTCATAGAATCTTACCTTGGCTATCTCCCTTCTTCCCTATTTATGCATGCTCTATCTTAAATCTAACAGCTATTGATTTTTTTTTTTTTATTTCAGGTGCTTCTCTTCGAGGGTTTTACCCTTTGCCGGGTGATGCTACGGTTATATCCCGCCCAAGGTGGTTTGTATCTACGCTTCGTTCCCTCTTCCCAGTGTTACCCTCCACTGATGTCGCCCATCTAGCTCCATCTAGCGGGTCGTCCGCACTCCCATCTCCCTCCAGCAGCATAGACGAGCTGCCCCCTCCCTCTAGGTTACCAAGCCGCCCTCCTACCCCTCCCCCTTCCCCTGTCGTGCCTCTCCGTTACTCCGCAGCAGGTTGTCACCCCTCCAAGTCCCTTCCAACTCTACCTCCAACCGTGTTGACCTACTGCTGTGCCCTCTTCTGTCAGCCTCCAGGTCTAACATCTTTTTAGGCGTTCGCCTAGTAGTCGTCTATTCCCCCTAGGCCCACCTCAGTAGATTTCCAACAGCCTTTCGAGACTGCGCCGGTTTTGCAGCATTCCAGGATTGTTTCCACCTCATGTGAGTCTAATTCTGCATTCACTATCCCTTTACTATTTATGTGTTGTTTCCTTTTACTTTTTTTGTAATCTTGCACGTTGTTTATGTGTCATTGTTGGTGAGGAATCATTATTATACTCGTCTTTCAAATTCAGAAATAAAATTTATCGCGTCTGAGTAGTGGTTTGGGTTAGCTCCAGTATAATTTGGTATCATAGATACGATTCCTAGTATCCGACCCACCCAAGCCACCCAATTTTTTTCTTCTTTCTCTTCTTTTCCTCTTCCTTTTTTCCCCTTCTTTTCTCGTCTTCTCCTTCCATCTCTAGTCTCTTTCTGAATCACTTCCGATCATGCCACCAAGCTGATACGCACCGAACCCAACCCGAAAAGAAATACGAGAGATTCATCGCCTGCAACAATGATTGGTCGACTTGAGGACGGTACTCACAGCCACGTTACTCTCGATCGTGACATTGAGAGTCAAAGAGGAGACCGCGACGATGATCTTAACCCGTTTCACCATGACGATGTTAGCGAAGATGAATATCGATCGTGCCGCTTCGGCATTCACTATCGACGAAGACCACGAGAGGAGCCCTTGTTTGGCGGCCACCGAGATTACTGCATTAAGACGAACCTAGAGGAGTTTGAAAGAAACATGAATCCCGATGACTTCATCGATACAAGCGGTCGAACGCATTTTCAAATACAAGGTCCCCAAGGATAAACGGGTTAAACTTGCAACTATCAAATTGAAGAAAAATGTCTCATTATGATGGGAAAATCTATAGCGACAACGAAAACGGGATAAAAGCAACAACATTACCCAGTGGGCAAAAATGAAAAAAGCGATGCAGAAGAAGTACCAACCACTCTACTACCGTCAGGACATGTTCCTCAAGCTTCACAGCCTACAACGGCGAGACCTTTCAGTCGAGAAATTCACTGTAAAGTTTGGCTAATTACAAATGAAGTGTGAGTTAGTCGAGCAAGAGAAGCACATGATCGCCCGCTATTTGGGAGGCCTAAAACCCGGATTAGCAACTTCGTTCAACTACAGTCTTACTGGTCATTGAGTGATGTCGAAACCCTAGCATTAAAGGTTGAACGATAAAAGCATACTGGATCCCAATCATCCTTTCGACAGCAATCAGCCTTCAAACCATCCATCACAACTATGGTTGCCGACAAGGCCACGTCTGGAGCTAGCAAATTGACACTAGGAAGCGAAAAAACAACTCCAAGCAGCACAAAGCTACAAAAAGGTAGTTCATCCGGGACTATTACCGCACGAAAGTGTTTTCGGTCTCACGATTATGGCCACCTTGCTGCCAACTGTTCTAAAAGCCGAGTTGTCTCCTTCACAAAAGAAAGCATCGTCGAAGAAATAGAGTAACTTGAGTCGGAAGATAGTTCAAAAGAAGCACTTCAACTTCCAGGAGACTAAGGCAAAATGTCGGTCGTACAAAAAATTCTACAATCCGAACAAAAAAAAAATCCATCGTGGCTCCGGCACACCATCTTTCGCACCACGTGCACAGTAAAAGGCAAAACGTGCAGTTTAATCAGCGACGGTTGAAGCTGTGAAAACTTCATGTCCACACTCATGGTCCAAAAGTTGGGATTAGCAACGCAAAAACATCAGTGATCATATTCTCTCGACTGGTTGAAAAGAGGAAACGAGATACGTGTCGATCGTCAATGCTTAGTTGTATTCTCAATTAGCGATAAGTTCCAAGAGCAAGTTTGGTACAATATGGTTCAAATGGACGCTTGTCACATCCTACTGGGTCGACCGTGACAATTCGACAAGAACACATACACATATAAGAAAAATGGGAAGTGCATCATGTTAATACCTTTCAAGAATGCAAAGGTGTCATTGAAATAGAAGATTCGTTAGTTTCACGAGCCACCTTCCTACAGTCCATTTGAGATGCACCCATGGTCGTGCTTTAGTCCTCTAAGAAGGGATCGATGCCCAGGGGGAAATACCCATGTGCCTCCAACCACTACTACACGATTTCAAGGAACTCCAACGTTAGGTTCAGAATATTGTTTCGAGAGGATTGGTACAAAAAGAAACAGCCCGTGCGCTAGCTATCCCTGCCATCATAATACCCAAGAAAGATGGTTCTTGACGGATGTGGATTGACAGCGTCGTCATTAACAAAATTACAATCAAATATCATGTTTCCATACCACGCCTCAACAATCTCTTAGATCAATTGTACGGTGCCACCGTCCTCTCAAAAATTGACCAACGAAGTGGATAACAACAGATAAGAATACGACCATGAGACAAGTGGAAGACCGCCTTACGCACGAAGGCCTTTATGAATGGACAGTTACGTCTTT